TCTTAAAATTTAAGAATTGGTGTGTGTAGGGGGTATGTGTGTGTGTGTGCGCGCGCGTGTGTGTGTGGTGTGTGTGTGTGTGTTTGCCTGATTTATGGCTTCTGTGATCTAACTTGTTTTTAACACTTGCAGCTCCTCCCTGTTGATTATCATTTCTTGACTACTTGGAATTCAAAAGATATCAAACCTGTATCCTCTGGGACCTACGACTCCTCACCAGACTTCTTTCACATTGTAATTTCAGTAGTGCATCTTCAAATCCAAAATCAGTCGTAAATTCACCCTCTGGTTCTTTGCATTAAACTGGATTAGCCATTGTAAATGATTGATTTTGGGGGTAGACTTTAAAATGCTGAATTATTTATGTTTGCCTTGCCTGCTAATCTAGATTATGACAGTTGAGTATAGTACTCTTCATTTAAAATATTTGTGGTTTGCAATTATAAGCATATTAGCAAAATAAGATTATTTCAGTTAGGGGAAAACCGACAGCTTCTGTGTACTAGTGTTTATGACCTGTGGTGTTGAATTTAACTATTAATTTCTTAGAACTTGATCCTGTATTTTACTGTGACCTTGCCCACTAGGAATTTTCTTTTTTTTTTTTTGAGACGGAGTTTCGCTCTTGTTACCCAGGCTGGAGTGCAATGGTGCAATCTTGGCTCACCGCAACCTCCGCCTCCTGGATTCAGGCAATTCTCCTGCCTCAGCCTCCTGAGTCGCTGGGATTACAGGCATGCGCCACCATGCCCAGCTGATTTTTTGTATTTTTAGTAGAGATGGGGTTTCACCATGTTGACCAGGATGGTCTCGATTTCTTGACCTCGTGATCCACCCGCCTCGGCCTCCCAAAGTGCTGGGATTACAGGCGTGAGCCACCGTGCCCGGCCCCGGAATTTTCATTATAAACAAGAGGGGGACTGATCAACTGCAGTAAGCCACACAGAAGTTAATCTTTCATCACTGAAAACCTTGCTTGAGAACCCCTGGAGTATAAATTGTCTGTCTCTTCAATGTCTCGTTTCTACAGTAGAGCAAAACTATATTCAAGACAATCCTGAGACTGTGTGTGTGCATGTACATATTAAAGCAGTTTATTAGAAATTTTCCTAATGCAGGCGGTGCAGTGGCTCACACCTGTAATCCTAACACTTTGGGAGGCTGAGGCAAATGGAGGGCTTGAGCCTACGAGTTCAAGACCAGCCTGGGTAATATATAGCAAGACCTTCTCTTTATTTAAAAAGTAAAAATAGATTTAAAAAAAAATTTCTTTTTAAAAAGAAATCTCCAGAAATACCAGGTTTATTGATGGACCATTGTGTATGGGAAGCCTTGGTAGTGAAGTGAAGGAGCCATATTTGAGATGGGAAAGTTTTCATTTAGTCCTAGGATGACCAGGTAGTAAGTTGTCTATTTTGTGATTTCTGACTCCCTCGGAACTCTGAAAGTATCCCTGATGGAGTTCTTGTCAGGTTGGTAAAGATGTATTTTCTTCCTTTTAATTTCTAGAAATGATAAAGACCATCCTTACTTTTGGAGAAAGACCATACTTATTTTTGGAGAAAGGTCAGCTTTAGCATGACAAATGAGAAACAGCAATAGCCTCTCTTGACTGGTCAGAATTTGTGAGCAAAATGATTCCTACCTCTGTGAGAAGAGACAGGAAGGGCCGCCCTTGTAGCCGTACTTGAAGATGGCCTTTGCAGTGCAGGTGGGCTGTCGGGGAGGCCCAGGTTGCAGTAAGCTGTCCACGGACACAGCCTTGGATGTTGGGATGGGGAATGGGGAATCTGATTCTCGGCCCCCATCATCCTCCCACACACCAGCTTAATACTCTTCTTCCCCAGCTTAATACTCTTATTGTAAGCTCCTTACTGCAAAGCATTAGGCTCTCAGTAGACTAGAAGTTATGTTTCTCATGCAGGATGATTGAGTAGTAACAATATGACTGTCTTAATGTCAATACGGATTTGTCTCATCTTGTCTGAAACATAATTGAACAAGCTCAGGTTCAGACAGGTCTTAGAGTCCACTGTTCATTTCTCAAGAGCAGGTTCTTACACACACCCTTTGTTTTTTATTCTTTCTTAAAAGTTTCCCAGTATAGAATAAATTGGCTAGGTTGCTGTGTACGTATGCAGTGTGAGGCTGCTGGTTAGTTCTTATTAGAGGACCTCACCCAGTAGTTGGAACCTACCATGCCTGCGTGCGTGTGTGAGTGCAGATCTGTGTGCTCTCTGTCAGTGTTGCCAGGTAGAACTGGAATTATCCGTAGCATAGTCATCACATTCCTTTTGGCGGAAAAAGATCTTCAAACCTGACTTAGTATTTTCTCTTTTTTATCCTTTTTCTTGTTGTTTTTGAAACACAGTCTCCTTCTGTCACCCAGGCTGGAGTGAAGTGGCATAATCTCAGCTCTGCGACCTCCACCTCCTGGGTTCAACTGATTCTCCTGCCTCAGCCTCCCAAGTAGCTGGCATCACAGGCACCCACCACCACGCCTGCCTAATTTTTGTATTTTTAGTAGAGATGGGGTTTCACCATGCTGACCAGGCTGGTCTCAAACTCCTGACCTCAAGTGATCCACCTGCCTCACCTCCCAAAGTGCTGGGATTACAGGCATGAGCCACCGCGCCCAGCCAGGAGTCTTTTCATCTCACTCTATCACCCAGGTTTGATTGCAAGTTGTGTGATCATAGCTCACAGAAGCTTTGAACTTCTAGACTCAGGTGATCCTCCCACCTCAGACTCCCAAGCGGCTGGGATTACATGTGCAAGCTTCTGCTCCCAGCAACCAAGAGTCATTTTTTAAAATGCCAGTTAGAACATTTTTACTTTTTATTTTTATTATTATTTTTTTATCCAGAGTCTTGCTCTGTCACCCAGGCTGGCATGCAGAGTGGTGCGATCTCAGCTCACTGCAACCTCCGCCTCTCAGGCTCAAGCAATTCTCTTGCCTCAGCCTCCTGAGTAGCTGGGATTACAGGCACATGCCACCATACCCGGCTAATTTTTGTATTTTTAGTAGAGACGGGGTTTCACCATGTTGGCCAGGCTGGTCTCGAACTCCTGACCTCGTGATCCACCCGCCTCGGCCTCCCAGAGTGCTGGGATTACAGGCATGAGCCACCATGCCTGGCCGAAAGTTTTTACATTTATTTATTTACTTACTTATTTATTTGAGACAGGGTCTCCTCTGTTGCCCAGGCTAGAGTGTAGTGGCACACTCTGGGCCCACCGCAGCCTCAACCTCCCAGGCTTAAGCAGTCCTCCCACCTCAGCCTACTGAGTAGCTGCGACCTCCATGTCTGCTAATTTTTGTATTTTTTGTAGAAACGGAGTTTCCCCAGGTTGCCCAGGCTGGTCTCAAACTCCTAAGCTCAATCCATCTGCTTGCCTCTGTCTCCCAAAGTGCTGGGATTTCAGGCGTGAGCCACCGCACCCAAACTAAAGTTTTTACTTTGAAGAAAAAAATTTTCAATACAATGGTGCCATTCGTTTTTCAAGTGGAACCTGAGTCCCTCTAGTGGGTAGGGTGTAATTCACCTTCCAAGCTTGAGATAGGTGGGAGATGTCAGTCATGATTTTCTTGGAACCAGCTTTCAGATCCAGTGTCTCATCAGTGTTGGAGTCACCCTCCCCAGCTAAAAGGCAGTGCTTAGCTCACCGCTGGCTTGGCCCCAGCGTCAGCATTCAGTAGTCCTCCTCTGCCCATGTGATCTTCGCGGCCCTGATCTTTCCTTGCATGGAATCTCACAGCCGTGGTTCACCAGCTGCTTTATTTCAAGCCTCAGCAAATATAAACTCACACTACAACTTGATGGTTTTTATGCCATGCAGTTCTTTCCAGCAAAAAAAGCAATGCCCCAGGGCCCTCGAGTTGCCGTGAAACGAGTCGTTGTGCAGGTCTGCTGTGGGGCCACAGGTACCTGAAGGACGTTCAGCAGTTGGAGGAGTTACGTGCTGATAGTTAGAACAAAGGCAGTGTGCACGGCTGGAAGGAACTCGGGCCCGGCGTTCAGTCCTAACCAGCTACGGTGTGACCTTCAGCTGTGATGACATAGCCTTTCTGTAGCTTAGTTTCCCCTTTTGTAAAATAGGGAGATGCCAAAACTATCTTGTGGGGTTCTTATTTTTATAATTTTAAAAAATGTGTGTGTGTGTGTGTGTGTGTGTGTGTGTGTGTGTGTGTATGTGTGTGTGTGTGTTGTGTTTTGTTTTGTTTTGTTTTGTTTTCTGAGACAGAGTCTTGCTCTGTCCCAGCTGGAGTGCAGTGGCACAGTCTCAGCTCACTGCAGTCTCCCTCTCCTGGAATCAAGTGATTCTTCTGTCTTAACCTCCCAAGTGGCTGGGACTGTAATCACACGCCACAAAGCCTGGCTAATTTTTATATTTTTAGTAGAGACGAGGTTTCACCATATTGGCCAGGCTGGTCTTGAACTCCTGACTTTGTGATCCGCCCACTTTGGCCTCCCAAATTGCTGGCTAGGATTACAGGCATGAGCCACTCCTCCAGGCCTATTTTTGTTTGTTTGGTTGGTTTTTTAAAGAGACAAGGTCTCATCCTGTTTCCTGGGCCGGAGTGCGGTAGCACAATCATAGCTCACTGCTGCTTGGAAGTCTTGGGCTCAAGTGATCCTCCCTCCTCTGCTTGCAGAGTAGCTGAGACTACAGGTGTACACCGTTGTGGCTGGCTAGTTATAAACATTTTTTTAGAGATGGGGGTCTTACTATATTGCCCAGGCTGATCTCAAACTCCTAGGCTCAAGTGATCTCCAGCCTTGGCCTCCCAAAGTGCTAGGATGCTAGGATGACCCACCACCCCTTGCAGGGTTGTGTTAAGTGCTGGAAATAACGCATCCAAAAGCCTTTGTGTTTTCAGTGCTTTACGATTGGTGGCAGAAGATGTGGAAATTTTCTCCATCTAGTTCCTTACAATGCATGAGGTTTAATTACTGAGATAACTTTCTTCTCTTTCCCATGCTTTCTCTTTCTTTCAGTCACCACCAAGTAAGCGAAGAAAACTAGAGAAACCAAGGAAACCCATTACGTTTGTGGTGTTGGCGTCTGTGATGAAAGAGTTGTCTCTGAAAGCATCGTCTCTGGGCTCCAAGACGGGGGAAGGCATCGTGGTCGTCACCACGTGGATTGAAAAGATTCTCACTGATTTGAAGGTACCTGGTTAACCATACTGATGAAGTCCTCATAAGGAACATTCCCTTTTTTCTTTCTTTTATTAATTGAGAGTTTGGAAAGAAGGGAAAAGCGATTTCCTATAAAATGCTCTTTTTCCTCCAAATAGGTCCAGCATAAACGAGTTCCCTGTGGAAAAGAGGAAGTTAGCCTTTTCCTAACAGTCATAGAAAACTCCTGGATTCATTTAAGGAGAAAGAAAAGAGAGCGAGTGAGACAACTAAGAGAAGTCCCTCGTGCTCCCGAGGATGTCATTCAGGCCTTGGAGGAGAAGAAATCCACGCCCAGAGAGCCCGGCAACAGCCAGGAGAGGGCGCCGTGCGGGCCTGCTCTGCGGGAGGGCAAGCCTGCCGACGCGGAGGGCCAGGGCCTGAGCCAGGAGTCGCTGTCCCCGGAGGAAAACCCAGAACCCATGGAGGACGAAAGGAGTGAGGAGAAGGGAGAGATGGAGGTTTTGGAAAGCTGTAAAGGCTCTAGCAACGGAGCCCAGGACCAAGAGGCTTCTGAGCAGTTCAGCAACCCTGTGGCCGCCACGGGGAAGCGTCTCCCAGGCATGGCTGGGCAGTACCTGTTTAAGTGCTTGATCAATGTTAAGAAGGAGGTGGACGATGCCTTAGTTGAAATGCACTGGGTTGAGGGCCAGAACAGGGATTTGATGAACCAGCTTTGCACCTACATACGTAACCAAATTTTTCGGCTTGTTGCTAGTTAACTGGAAACATCTTGAACAGCTGGAGGCGTGTTTCTAGGAGCTGGCTTTGGAGTGGCTGTGGGGTGGCAGGAGGAATCCTGTGAGTAGTCCATTTGTAGCATTACGGGCCACTGACACGATTTATCTTCAGAAACAAGAACCTGTGAATCTATCCCACGTCCCCCCACCGCCTTCCTGCTGTTGTTTTTAAGTTACAGGAGTAGTTGTATGGTCGTTTACAAGGAGGAATTGTGGTTGTAACAACAGAAGGCCCTTGGTACACTCCCAAGGCTTTGAAAGCTGGCTAGAGCTGGGCCCCTCAGCTGTGGACTGCTTCTGCACAGCCAGAAGTGCTGGAGTGTGGGCTGGGCAGCACTGCCTAGAATGCCATGCTCTGTCACCCAGGGGTGTTCCTTGAGGAGCAGCAGCTCTCTCTGCCTCCAGTCGGAGGCCCTGGTACCCTCTTCTATGTCACTCTTCAAGATGGAACCTACCTTGCATCAGTCCACGAAGGGAGCCAGCCCCATGGTGGGTGGTGGGGAGTCGGGGAAAGAAACCTTATAATGGCAGGAAGAAGGACCAGTCTGGGGAGCACCTGGTAGATGGCACATTCCTGACACGTAGCTGTTTTGTTTTGCTTACTTCGGAAGCAGAATTAGGTAAGCCAGACTCCTGAGTGTGACTGAGGCACACAGAAGGCACCCATACCTCCCCCTCCAGCCTGTTCAAAGTACCCTTTTGTAGCAGTTTTACAACTGCATGAGTTTCGTTTGGACATCTGAAGTAAAGCTTGTTTTGTTTTTAATATAAGAATATTCACAAATTAAAAACCAGTGGTCTGTTTGAATCCTGGGGTTGGCTGAGTGAGCGACTGATGACAGAAATGACAAATGGAACAAAACAGTATGTGCCGTAGGTGGCTGCAGAAAGGCTCAGATGTTTGGTTGCTGATCTGACACCGTTTTTTGTGGCTTCGCTTATAATCCCTTCTGTGCTTGCCTGCTCACATTGGAGAGTTCTGAGCCTGGGGTAACCGTGTGCTTAAAACATGTTTCTAATACGAATGCCAGGGTCCTGTAGAAATAACCCCTGGAAAACTGGCAACCTTTTGCTGTGCTTGACTTTTAACAGCCTGATGATGCATCAGCAGCCTAGGGTTCTATTTAGACTAAAATCTTTGCCGGAGCTCCTTGCTATCGGCTAAGAAGACGGGGGCTGAGTAGCTAAGCCACCCTTCTGAGAGGTGGCTGTTGGTTAGGACAGAAAGCTGATGACCTTGGCATATCTTGGCAGCAGCTAGATCAGGCCCTCAGCAAAGACACAGGAAATGGAACGACTATGCTTTAGTCTGGCTGTGGAGCTGGGGCTAGAGAAGACAGCACAGTGACCAGTGGTGTTTTTGTCGGTTTGTTTGTCTGGAGATGGCATTTCACGCTTGTTGCCCAGGCTGGAGTGCATGGTGCAATCTCGACTCGATGCAGCCTCCACCTCCCAGGGTCAAGTGATTCTCCTGCCTCAACCTCCGAAGTAGCTAGGATTGCAGGCATGTGCCACTATGCCCGGCTAATTTTGTGTTTTTAGTAGGGACGGGATTTCACCATGTTGCCCAGGCTAGTCTCTAACTCCTGACCTCAGGTGATCCACCCACCTTTGCCTCTCAAAGTGCTGGGATTACAGATGTGAGCCACTGTGCCTGGCCACTGACCAGTGTTCTTAACTTGGTCCGTGAACCTCCAGAGAGTCCATACACCTCCTAGAGCTACTTCTAAAAGCTCTGTGAGCGTGTTTTTTTTTTGTTTGTTTGTTTTCTGGAGAGAGGGTCCCTAGAACCTTCAGACATAGACAGTGGGGTCAGTAATCCACTAAGGATTAAGAAGCATTATTCTAGTCTAACCACTCATGTGTCAGGCTGTGAAAACCAGTACCTAGGGTCTTACAGAGGCAAGCCTCCATTTGGGACCTCAGACTCCCCTGGTCTAGTAATTGTGCCCTAGCCCACACCAGCGCACTATACTTACCTCAAGTGAACATCACATTTGAGTCACTGGCTGGATGCAAACCTAGTTTTCTTGGTATAACTGTAGGATAATTGGTTGAGTGGCAACCATGCATTCAGTAAGTAGTAAGTAGTGGCCGGGCGCGGTGGCTCAAGCCTGTAATCCCAGCACTTTGGGAGGCCGAGGCGGGTGGATCACGAGGTCAAGAGATCGAGACCATCCTGGTCAACACGGTGAAACCCCGTCTCTACTAAAAATACAAAAAATTAGCTGGGCATGGTGGCGCGTGCCTGTAATCCCAGCTACTGAGGAGGCTGAGGCAGGAGAATTGCCTGAACCCAGGAGGCGGAGGTTGCAGTGAGCCGAGATCGCGCCATTGCACTCCAGCCTGGGTAACATGAGTGAAACTCCGTCTCAAAAAAAAAAAAAAAAAAAAAAAGTAGTAAGTAGTTACTTGCTTTTTTCATTACGAAAGAGTGACACATGCTCATGAAAGGCTGGGGAAATGAAAGTCAAAACAGCAAAGCACCGAGTCTGCCTTCTGTAACATAACCGCTATTGGGATTGGCTGTTTCTTTCCAGTCTCTGTAGATGGGGTGTGAGTGTGTGGGTTCGCTTCGCCTGTACTCATGCTGCATATTCAGGTTTGTATTCTGGGCTTGTTTTCACGGAACATCTTAGAAGTATGTTTCCATGCTATAACAGTATTGTGTTTACTTAACCTCCTTGCCTGTTCCCATGTCTTTCAGGCACAGGACTGTCCTTTGCTTAAGTCTGTTTCTTAGGGGTTTCCAGAAAATACTCCGTATAACTGAGGCACAGAAGGTTTTTCTGTGTCTATATGTGTTTCTGTCCCTAGGTTTAGGGCTTGGTGTCCTGGAGGAGATTTTATACGTGTGAAGCTAATGACTTGAGGGTTTTAAAAATCCGTGACAGTGGACGGGTGTGGTGGCTCACATCTGTAATCCCAGCACTTTGGGAGGCCGAGGTGGGCGCATCACTTGAGGTCAGGAGTTTGAGACCAGCTTGGCCACCATGGTGAAACCCTATTTCTACTAAAAATACAAAAATCTGGGCGTGATGGCGGGTGCCTGTGATCCCAGCTACTCGGGAGGCTGAGGCAGGAGAATCGCTTGAACCTGGGAGGTGGAGGTGCAGTGAGCCAAGATTGTGCTGCTGACTGCACTCCAGCCTGAGTGACAAAGGGAGACTGTGTCTCAAAAAAAAAAAAAAAAAAACCCACCACGTGACAAGGCCGGCTTTCACAGTCTGCAGCTGAGCAGCTTCTTTGCATTTGGATGCGTCCATTTCCTTCTCTGAGAAGATTAACTTCTTAGACTACCTAGTGAGAACACTGAAAATGTTTTAAAGGACATGTGCTTTATGATTGTGTGCCGTGTCATGGCATATACCTCTCTCTAGGTCGGACCGTTGTTTTCTTCTTTGAAGAAATAGGCTATTGACTCATATGTCATGATCTTGAGTGTTACTCTCCTTAAGTGTCCAGAGGCCAAGTTCATGTTGATGGATTGGTTTGAAATGAAGTCTTTGTGGTATGATCCTAAATTCTCTGGTCCCTAGGACCAGCTCTGGTCTCTTGATAGCTGAAGTGGAGACAAGCTGACAGAAGCTGAGCCTGTTTTCCAGGCAAACTAGAACTGCTTTTGTTCTTCCGCATCAGCGTTGCCTCTGTCAGCTTGGTTCCTTCCCCGCACACCCTGGCCCCACTGTTCCCACCCCAGACCTTTGCTGTGTGTCCTGGCAGGGCTGAGGCTCTGCAGCGGCCTTTCCGCTAACTCATCTTAAGGCTCGTGTAGATTAGCACATATTTTTTATAAAACATAAAGCCTTCCCTCTCAGCGGAAATCAAAGCTTACCATGTGAGCACTCGAACTTCTAAGTTCTGACAGGAATAACAAAACGGCCAGGAGTGGAAAAGCTGCAAAAGCCTGTGGAAAATCCAAGGCCTTTTGAAAGAAGGGAGCTGATGACTTCACGGCCAGCTGGAGCCCCTCCTTCCTGCCGAAGCCGCGGTGTTTCCCTCCGTGGCCACACGGGGGCAGCCTCGGCCCTTTTATCAAACGCCTTCACTTCCCTGTGGGAATGGAGACAATTGTATCCACGGTGTTTTCTTGAAATACCAGTTCCTACCCAGATTTGTATTTTTATGTAAACAAATACATTTTCACATAAATAAAATTTGAAAAATAAAAGCAGAAAGAGGAAGAAAACACTAGCCATGGTCTCGTGTGATCCCTTGGTTTAGTGTAATTACTACCTGGTGTAATCCCTTCCCACCTGTTAATGTTTCTTTAACGTTCCCAGCTGACTGTGTTTCTATTCTTCCCCACTGCTCTACTCTAGCATATATCCAGGTCGAGCCAGTCCTGTGGATCAACGTTTTCTTCACATATCCAGTTAATGAAGATACCGGAGGGGACATGTTTACGGATCTTAACACAGAAACTTTCCAAAAGCCTTATGTTCCAGAAGAGTAATGTCAAGATCGCCAAGAAAGCAGGTGTTCAGTGTTCTTTCGTTGACTCTTGTGTGGGGTGTCTCCGGTTGGCTGGCTAACAGGCGTGTCATGTGTTGCTTATATCGGAAGTGGAGGGTTCTGTGTGGTGTCTATGATGCAGGTGAGCCAGGGCCTTGCTTCTCACCAGGACGTTTCTAGGTAGACCATGTATCTTACTAACCCTGGGGTCTGTGTGCACTCAGGGAGAATCCCATCTCCTCTTACGTTTCTGGTACAGGATCAGATGTAGCCACCCAGCAGCTGTGCCCATTAGGAGGAGGAGGAAGGTCCAGGTGGGAAAGGAAGTCAGGAGCCCCCGGAAGAAGGAGCATTTCAGAGGCGCAGCAGCTTTGTAGCCGTCGAGGGCTGGCCTCAGGCAAGGGTCACGGCCACATGCTTTTTAGGGAAGTTGTCGTGCAGGAGACTTGGTTTGAATGGGCACTGACCTCGGTAAACCCGGAAGAGGCTGAAGAGAATGAGTTGGCTTCCGCCTCCTGCGGGCAGCACTGATGGTGCTGTACCTTCCTGTAACCCAGAGTACGCAGCCCTAGGTGTGAGTGCAGTGCAGCATCAGAGGCCCACTGATGACGGGCGCATTCCTGCTCTATCCGGGAAGACATTCACATCCTCTGCGGTGACTCAGCCAAATGACTAAAACAGCGGCTGATGTTTGCAATTGCCAGTGCCGCCGGTTGGAGGCTGTGCTTTGTACTCCTGGGACTCTTGTGACAAGGAACATCCTTGCCCCCTCCAGATGGCCTTTGAGGTGTAGCCTGTCTGCCAGTCTCCATCCAAGCGGAAGCGTGGGTTTCCTTAGGGAAGTGGAAGATGGGGGGTGCTTCCCTCACAAGGGAACTGAGAGGAGAAGGGGTGAAGGAAAAGTGCAGTCCAACTTGACAGAACTGGCTGGCACGCGGTGCTCTGACAGGTCCGGGCAGGTGGAGACCCAACACGCTTTTCCACCTTCCCTAGCGGAGCGAGAGGCGGGAAGGAGCACAGACTTCGACGTTCGGACCAGGGTTCCCGTCCAGTTCCATTCCTTGCACGGGGTAAGTCAGTTTACTAAGCCTTGCGTTCCGCCTGCCAGAGATGAGGAATCCTTGCTTCACAGAGTTAGAGACCTCAGGAGAGGGTGGAAACACTTGCCTCTCTTCTGCTTCTTTGAATTTTCAGCTTCTGTTCAGAAAACCTTCTATCAGTAGACTCGGATGGAAAGGCTGAGACCTCATGTGTATACCTGCAGGTGTAAAGTACCACCTTTGACAAAGAGCAAAACCCATACTTCATGTTATGGAGGGAGGCACAGGGACCAATATTGAGTGTCCCCTTCCACACAGACTGTCTCAGTTAGTAACCCATCAGTCCACGTGATGTTCCTGCATGGGGGCTGAAGGAAATGGAAGGTCAGAGAGTGTCAGTGACTTGCTTGAAGGTTATCCACAGAGCTAAGTCATAGAAATGGGATTTGAACACAGGTCCAAGAGGCCAAGATTGGGCTCTTGTGCCAGATCTCAAAAGTCTATGACAAATGCTGCACTTGAGATGGAAATGGGCCTCCAGGGACGGAGAGTTCAGTCATGACACAGGGAAGGAAAAGCATCTGGTCATGCTGTTTTCTAGCCTATGATCAATGAGTGACATGTAGTCAGTGGAATTACTTAGAATTCTTAATTTATGTACCAGATCTTCACAGAATTTTGTATTTGGCAGCAGTTAGTGAAAGTACAAAATAAAATGTCTAGTGAAAGTACATGTTGGACCAGAATCAATAGGAAATAACTGGTTATTGGGTAAATTATTCTTTGGCAATACATAATTGTATAATGGAAGAGAGGGTTAATTCTTTTTTTTTTTTTTTTTTAATAAGGCAGCTCCAAATATTTCACTTACAGAAAAACACAAAACTGATGTGTTTTTTGAGCTTTCTGGAGAAGGTAGCAATTGTCAGAAGAATAGCCAGGCCTCCTCCCCAGGTAGGTGTGGGAAC